TTCGCCTTCTGACTCTGATCCACACTCAAACTATTTTCCCGTGTCCTCCAAGCTCCTCTAGGCTTCACCTCCCTCAGCCCTGAGATGGGGATCAAAGTATCTGCCTCTCAGCATAGAGATGTGAAGGTCAGGCCCCTCGCCCCTGGCCCTGTTCAGGCAGTAGGTGTTCAAGGAATCGTGTGACCTGATGGCAGAGGACTTTGAAAACAGGAAAGCACTAGTTAAACGGTAGCTGTTATAACTGATCCACTCAGCTTCCTCAAATCAAGTTCTCCCCAAGTAAAAGAAATTTCCCTCGACTTCACCCCTAAAATGCCATCTGACGCTTTGCTTCTGCCAACCAACATTTCCTACATACCTGCTCTGAACCACTCAGCTGGATATCAAGAACAAAGATTCTTCCCGCCTTCAGAAGGTGCCACACAGCATCGCCTAAGGGACAATCTTGCAGCTCTTTCTCAAAGGAGGGCCCTGCCCGTGGAAACTGTGAAGCAGTGGGTGATGAGGATGCATTTGGAAACCTGCACAAAGTTCTAAGAGGCCAAGGTGCGCAGCAGGAAGTGAGGCTGCAGAGGTTGGCGGGGGAGCAAATCACAAAAAGATGCTTGGTACTAATCCAAGGAGCTGGAACTTGACTCTGAAAGCTATGGATAGGAAGAGAGCCCGAAGTGTTGCTAGGGACACCATGGGAGAAGGGAAGGGTCAGTGAAGTCAGATAAGACAAGTGGCCTTTGGACTTATCAATGTGGCAGTCATTGACCATTGATTGACAAGTGGCACTGGAGGCTCAGTGGAGGGAAGGCATGAACCGATGGTAACCCCACAGCAATGGTTCCCTCTGGGCAGTCTCAGCTCTAGTATAGGAGTGGGTAGGAAAGGATGGATGAATTCAAGGTTGACATTATGAAGGGAGGCTGCAAGGGAAGAACATGAGGACAAGAAAGATGGAGTAAAGAATGATACACGAGCGAGTGATGAAGCGAAAGATACGGGGTTAGACCTGGCACTGGCTGGATTGTTTGGTGGCCAAAGCAGGGTAACCATTAAAAAAAAAGATATTTTTCGTGCCAAGAGACAGACGAGCTGGCTATTTGCAGCATGGCCAGAGATCTGCATTCTTTGCTCAAGATTTCAAACTAGAACACTGGCGAAGGCCTTCTCACTGTTTCTATTTCCCAATCTGTAAAATGAGAGGACAGGATAGATAATCCCTAAAATCCCTCCAGCCCTACCATGCCATGATTCATTGCTGCTGTCTTATTTTTATCCTCTTCACACCTTCCCAAGTGTCATGACTACCCGCACACCCTCAATAAATGTTTGTTGAGTTCCTGACAGTCTCTCTCACACAGACACTTGGTGCCTAGGTACATCATCGGTGCCCAGCCTGTTGACTGAGTGATGGTGGTATCATGAGGAAGTCCCTCCCTCTGCCTCCCCAGCAACCCTTCATGTGAGGTGTTTGGGGACCAGATGCAAATCCAGCCTTCACTCACCACCTCCCTGCCTTTAGTTTCTGCTTACCCTGGTCCATCTTACACACTAAAGTGACCGGGAGAGAGTACCACTGAGTGGCAGGAGGGCGGGTTCTGGCATCAGGCCCCTCAGGTTTGACTACAGTTTTTCCATTTTTAACCTGCATGATCTAGGATATGTTACTTAACTTCTATATTTTCTTCTAAAAGTTTTATGATTCATTTGACACAGCTGAATTTACTTTCATGTGTGGTGTGAGGTAGGGATCTGATTTTACTTTTTTCCATTTGTCCGTCCAGTTGTTCCTACACCATTCACTGAAGAACCCATCCTTCGTGCACTCAGGTGCCCATTTCCTCTGGCTCTTACCATACTCCCACATATGCATAGGTCTGGTGCTTGACCCCCTGTTCTATTTACTAAGTTATTTCTCCTTCTATCTAGCTATTCCCATTTATCACTTTGTTTTAGTTGTTTTATCTTCATATTATGTCTTTATATGATAGAACACAGGACTCCCCTTTTAGTTTTAGTTTAGTTTTGTTTTCCCTTGTAGTTTTCAAAATTGTCTTAGACATCCTTGGCAATTCATGCTGTGATTTTTAAAATTAGTTCTCCCAATACCTTTAAAAAGTAGTTTGCTTTTCTAAGCCTCCACTTCTTTACCACATAATGGTGATGATCGCAGGTCCTGAGCGTTACAGGACTGCAAAGACTGTAAAGCAGTGACACACGGCCTGGCATTAAGGCCTGGAACTCAAGGAGCACTCAGTAGAAAGTATCATCTTCCCCAAATGCCCAGATGCAGTCATGCTCTGCTTAAAACTGTTGTTGGCTTCCCAGTCATGCAGAGTAAAGATCACACAGCCTGCCAAGCCACCCGACCTCAGCTGACTTTCCCATGCCATCTCCTGCCTCTCCGTCCTCCCTGCCCACTATTGCTATTGTGTTCCATCGCCAGCAAACCTCACTGCTTCCCAAGAACAGCGCCTTGCTCTTGCACATGCTGGCCCTTAGGCGAGAATTTCTTCATCCCTCTTGAATCATTTGGTTGGCTCCACAGCCTTCTTTTTATTGCACTTGTCACTTTGCACTGTGATTATTTGTGTCTGTTGTGACTATTTTCTTATTTAGTGAATTAACACAAAGGAGTAAATTTCTCCCCTACTGAATTGGAGGGAAAAGGATAGTAACTTGCCTAAGACCACAGAACTTATCAACAGCTAAGCTGAGACCTGAACTCTGGTCTAATTCGAGTGCTCACAAAAAGGCGAGCAGTTTTTTGTTTTTTGTTTTTTGTTTTTTAATTTTAGCAAGTGGACTTTTGGCAAATGATTGTTGTTCCTTCCTTTTCTGAATCCCTTACTCCATCCCACCCTCCCATGGTCCTCCTGCCTGAGCTCTCTACATCGTCCCCTCTCACCCCACCTCCAGTGGCTTACCTCCCAAGGCTATCATCTCATGCCATCTGTCACCTAAGCAGCTGCCTGTGAGACTGAGCATCCTGGGTTTAGCATATTGCTGTATTCAGGACAAAGAACATGGAGCTTCATGGCTGTGTCCTCAGATGCTGAGATGTTAGCTGGGCATCACAAAACCAAGGAGATAAAAATAAACCTTTCACACCTCAAATGTGTCTGCAGCCAGAAGGCAAACAAGGCCATGGTTTAAACACCAGGCTTTCTTGGGCATGATTATCAGGCCTCTGGAGCGGACAGGAGCCAGCCCGACTCGGGGATGAGCAGGAGTCCTGCTGACTCAGCCTGGCTTGGCTGATCGGAGCTGCCGTCCAGCATACCGACGGGCGTGTCGTGGCACCCTGGCCTGGGTCCTGGTGCCAGCAGTGTCAGGGCTGCCTTGGTGTTCTCTGGGCTAATTTTCTCTCATCGCTGATGCTCAAAGTTTTGGAGCCTCTTTCGAGTTCTCTCTCCAGCCACGAGTCCTGCAGGCTCCTGGGAGACTGGACTGCAGCAAGATAATCCCAGTTTGCATTTACCCTCTGTGAACGTAGTAAACGTGAGGGGCTACCTGTAGAATGGTCCATCATGATCGGACACAGGTGAATGGAGAGTTTCTGGAACCCCAGATCCCAAGTAGAAGGTGGCCATTTGGTGACTTTCTGAGTATATCACTTGCATGAGCATTTGTAAGCTCATAGTCTCATTACACACACTAAATCTGGCAAAAGAAGGAATCCTCTGCTAGAGGAAGGAGCAGTGATCATCACAGGATGGGCAAAGGAGGCCTACAGAATCAGAATTTTATGGAGAAAGAGTACCTTGACCAGCGGATAGGGAATTTGCCCTGTGGTGGAATGAAGTCATCAGCTATTATTGTTCAGTAAATCAACTTCCTGCCTATTTTCAGCTACCCACACAGACAGCCAGTGCACTAACCTGGTAACTTGGTTTGACAATTTACCATCAAATAAACGAGCCAGGTGTCATCCAGGCACACATTCTTGTATCTCAGTCTTCAAGAGTTAGGTTCATGTGATTGTCACCCTACTAGTGACCTCTGGATACACTGACCATGTCAGGTTTGTGGGCTTACAAAATGGCCATGCCACCGGAGTCCCGGAGAGGCCAGCCTACTTCAGTGGCTGGACATGTTTATCTGACGGCGATAGGCTGCTTGTTCTTGCTTGTGCTGCCGTCTCTTCATCGCCAGGTCCACTGCCGAGTCCATACCACTTCATGCACGGCCATCCCAAGCTTCCAGACTGCTCCTCTCCAGCCTCTCCAGCCGCCTCCTCCTCAACCATGGCTGATAGTCCATGGCTGCCTTGCTCAAGGCAGCTTCACCTGGCCCTGTCCAGGGAGCTCAGTTGGTTACAGCATTGTCCTGATACAGTGTTTGCGGGTTCCATCCACATTCAGGGCACAGAAAAAGAATCAATCAATGAACGCAAAAATAAGTGGAACAGCAAATAGATGTTTCTCTCACTCTCAAAAAAAAAAACCAAACAAAAAACAACAAAAAAAACCAAACCCCAAAGCAATCAAATTTAAAAAATAAAGGCAGGCTTTGCCTGTACAGAGCTAAACTCCTTGGCCTGGCTTTTGTGGTCTTCTCTAATTTAATCTCATCATGCTTTATTTCTCATTACAGCTCAAATACTCTTCATTTGTCTTTGAACCAAGGGGTCCTAGCTCACTTAATGTTGCTGTGACACTGAAGGCGCACTGCCTGTTCTCTGTTGAGGTCCCATCATGACAGTCTTCAAAACACCCCTCCAGCCCTCTTGACTCCACTGTGCCCAACTTCTTCCGCAGACAGAAGCCACTCCTGGCTGTGCTCCCTCGTTATCTCAGAGTGGCTCACGTCTGTCCCCTCAGTGCTGGTACTGCCAGTCTGCCCCTGGGGTCTCCAATCCATTCCTCACCTGAATTCCCTGAACAGCACATCGTCCATGAGGCCACAGATGACCTCTGGGGCAACTGCCAAAAACCCAGCAGGGTGGGAGTAACATCAAGGACTCAAGGAAACCTCTAGAAAGAAGAGAGCAGACACTAAGCAGGGATGTGTGTGAAATACTGGTTTTTATTGGTTGGCACAAGATTACAGCCTACAATTCTGATGCCCTTCCCTCCCACACAGCTCAAATGGAAGGAAGCTGATAAACACAAAGAAAGGAATAGCACACTCACAGGTTTAAGCATTTGTACAAAAAGGAGTGGGATGTGGGGCTGGTGGGCTTTTAGGGGTACTACCAGAGCTCTCTTGGGGGGCGGTGTGCCCTCTGCTGCTGGCACCACATAAGCAGACACTTGCGAGGGGGAATGGTTACATGCGGCTGGCCTGTGGTTAAAGGGGGAAGTGGGGCTCCCATCCGCGGTGTACCTGTCTTGGACCCAAACCTGGGGGCTGGACCCAGTTCCCCTTTCTTTTCAGCCCTCCTCTGAAAGCCAACTGTTCTCATGGGAAAGAGAGGTGTGAAGGAAGCCTGAAGACACCCTCCTTGAGAAAAGGAAACAGGAAAACTCAGGTTCCTTCCACCTTCTTTGGACCAAGTTCCACCCCCCTCAGCTCCTATGGGCACAGTGAAGGTCTTCCTTAGAGGTGCTGTGAAGATACTGGGGAAGAGGTCAGGGCTTGGGCAGGTAGCCCAAGTGGGCAGGAAGGAACGCCTGGTTTTCCATGCAAAACTGAGCAAAGCTGTTCGGAAACAAAGGAAATGGGAAAACAAGGCCATATAGCCATAGGTTGGAACTTAAGTCCTGGAGTGCATTTGGATTGGGGTACAGCAAGCATGATGACAGACCCATTTCATAACGCAGCACTCGATCCCAAGAGGTTAAAGGACCATAACCAACCCCTCCTCCTTATACGAGCGCCATTCCATTCCTTTGATTCCCCAGTTCTGTTCAGCTCGTTCGGGGTTATTCCTGCCAATCTCTCCAATGATGTGAGTACTCCACTTTCTCTCCTTTCTACAAACATAAAATGCACTGCCTGAACAGGTGATACATACACTCTCTCTATAGAATGGCCAAGGAACTAGGAGATCTAACGATGGTAAGGCTCTTTGCTTTTCTGTGCGGTCCTGAGGGAAGGCGACAGCAGCAGAGTTCTGGTGGCATCAGAACAGTCTAGACTGAGCCTGTGTGACCGCCAGGGCACTGGTCCCTGGGTGCATGGGCCCCTGGTTCTGTGTCTCAGTTCCAGAGACATTACTAGATTTGACCATTTAAGCCTCTGCCAAAATGGATGAGCACTAGGGGGAAGGGACAAAGACTTCTGTCCTTTGGAAAAAGTTAAACTCAAAGTACATCCTGGCTACTTTGCCTGAACCCAAAGGGTTCCCTAGAAATACCTGCCGAACTTGGCCCAAGGGACACGGCATCTGGGCGATACACTTGCGACAGGGTAGAAAGCACATTTAGTTCATCTGTTTGAGAACTAGAATGGTCCCAGGGATTTTAACCTTTCTGATGCTGTTGGTAGATGAGGTGATTGCAGGGAGGAAACACCTTAATAAACCTTATGGTGTCTGAAGACCACAACCTGCAGCTGAGCCAACAGGGCAGGGCTCGCCTACTCCTCAGAGCCCATCCCTTACCAAGTCCATTGGATGGGATGGGAGACCAGGTCCTTGAAATAAAGGCTGGGCTGGCAAGATCAAGTATGATGATGCTACTAATGGGCTTCCACTTCCTCTCTGAGGAATAACACATCTGGGTAGGCCAGAGACACTTGCTTTACAACAGCTCTCAACAGCCTCAAATGCTCCTAGCTTCCTTAAATGCATGGCAAACTGGTAGCTATCTTTCTTAAGACAGATGTACCACTGACTGAAATTTTATCTAACCACCAACCTTTTGATTATAAACCAGTTTGAAAGTTTTCAAACCAAAAAATAATAAACACAGAACTGACATTTACAAAACCGCACTACATACTCTGTATTTCTTTTACGATAGAGTTAACTAATTGTTTAACTACTAAATGTAACACTATGCCACTGGGCCCTGGACTCACTCATGCACCTGTGCCCTGAGCAACACATTCACAAATATCCATCCATGGGTGGAAGGGAAAAGGTGAGGTTCTTGGGCTAAACAAAACACCTGAAGCTAATCTGATTTTGGAGGAGAGTCCCTTTGGGGTTCTGAGCAGAACTGCTCACAGCCACGTGGGAAGGGAGAAGGGGCAGGGTTGCGCCTGCCCGCTGCAGCTTAGATGCCTGCCATTTCCTTTTGAACTCCTTCCAGTTCTCGGGAGGAACACACACTGCCTGCTCAGCCTTCGAAGACCTCCTGTTCCTTCAGGATTTGGAAGACCTAACTTGAGATGTGCCCTGGGTGAAAGCTCTATGTGGAGCAGACCCATCCTGGTTCCTGGGTGTCTCCATAATGAGTCTTGACTTTCCTTGGCGTAAGTAGTATCTGTTGCTACTTAACTGTACATAAGTAGTACAGTATGCTGCTGGAATCAAGTAACTAAAACTAGATGTCTTCTCTGGTCATTTATTAGTGAGCCTGAAAAGCTCTTTTTTCAACAGGACAAGATAGAGGCCATAGGGATCTGTTGCAACTTTAGGTGCACATGTCCATTCAGCACAAAAGTGCTCAGGACAGGCTCGTATCAGTGCTTCCTACAGGTAAGCCAGCTGCACCCCACAGGACAGAGAGGGGAGTATAGCCTCAAGGCCCAGCATTGGGATTGAGGCATCTTGCTTTTTTCCTAAGGAGTTCCAAAGACTTAAGATTTTGACCTAAATGGGACCTCATTCCCAGGAGAGTGATTTTATTGCACTGTCGAGATGTTCCCTGAAAGGTACACCCAACAGATAATGGTCACAGACAGTAGGCAATTTAGTGGGTAATTGCACCAGAACCAGTATTTGTTCCTCAGCTCAATGATTAATAAAATCTTCTTGCCTCGACTGGCTGCAACTTGGGGTGACAAAGCTGGAGAATGACAAGGCTGCCGTTTTTGTATCTAAATTTTAAAGACTATCTCCAGGGTTTTAAACGCCTCCTTTGGTGTTTTGGAGGCCCTTGTTCCAGGTTAAAAACTGGGAATGTAAACCAAAGGAAACCTAGGGCAACGAATCAAACAACCGATTGCTGGAGGAACAGGAGCCATGGCTCTCCACCTCTCACAGAACCGCTTTACTTCTTCAGCAGAGTCCCTCCTGGTGTGCTGGATTCTGAGCTAACTGGTTTCCGTTTGAGCTCCCTCGCCGCAGACAGTCTGAGTTTCTCAAGACAAGCTCAAGCTCACCAAATCATCACGATGAACAAAGCTTTAAGAAAGAGACATGCCTTTTTATTTAGAAAACTTCACATTGCAGAGATACACAAAATCATGTGACTGGCCTCAGCTCCAGGACCCTGTCCAAATCAACATCAAATGGGATTCTTTCCTTCTCTTTTATTAATATTTAATGGGACTTAGAGGACAAGTTATTTGATGAATCTAAAGATGAGAGGTATCATTTTCCCAGATGTCCTGATTATGGCCTCTCACATCCCTGAGAGGTTACCAGCTAATGCAAGAACGTGGTCAAAATGGGAACGCAGGAGTGGAAGGAAGTGCCCCTAAAATCCCACGGTTTCCAGGACCCACAGTCATCTTGAGTCAACCTGGTGCACAGGCAACAGTGTCTTTTATAGATTGCTGTCGATGTTTCCCAATTTTAAATTTACCTGACAATCTCAAATGTCTCACTGTTTTAGATGATATCTAATGACATAGAGAACACAGCTCTTCCCGAGGGCGAGAGGTCTGTGCTGCACAGCTCACCCCTGAGCGCAAGGCTGACTCCCGGCTGCTGGCCCCGCCCCGCTCCAAGTGAGGTGAAGCCCAATGCAGAGACGGAGACCACCAGAAGCGGGGCTGCACAGCCCACAGCCGCCTGCAGCCCTGGAGAAAGGTTCCACCCCAGCAAGGCTCACAAGAAATGCTTGCTGCCTCTTCTGGGCATATGACCTGCACAGCTTCAGGTCTGACCTCTTTATCTTCAAAGAGTAAGAACCAGAAAAGGGTTTGCACTATTCAGTCACTACTGAATAATCTCACCCTGGAACTGCCGGCTTAACTGTCCTGCATGTCTCTTTTTCTTTTGTTAAAAATGTGGATTATTTTCTGAAATGCGGATGGGACCAGGATGAAGTTATATTGTCAATTATAGCTAACCCTCATTGCTCTTAAAGCAAAAATTCATCCCACTGTAATAATTTCTCTAGGTATTTCTTTTAATTCTAAATCTACTCTCACCTAGAACAGGCTTACAGAACACTTCAGAAATATTAAAAACTATAGTTGTGGCAAAAATCACATTGTGATTATTAAATCCCTTCTGTAAACTAAAACAATGTGGCTCAGGCTGTTTTTTAAAAAAAGATCCGGTGGGAAGGCCAACAAAGGTGTTAATATAGCACTAAGTGGAAATGGTAAAAATGAAAAGTACAATGTGTGAAATGCACACTAGGGTCCCACAGGAGACTGATCAATCCTCTGGTTAAAGAGGTTCAGGAGCCTCCAATCAGCATTGTATGTGGAAAAGAGAAAGGGGAAGGAGAATGAGGAAAACGGTCCTGTGTGGAACTTTTTTCTTCTAAAAACAAAGTGACTTTTTTCTTCTAAGCAAGTCTAGGAGAATTCACATGTGCTGACTGCTAACATCAAGACAGAAAATATTTTTTTGCCACAAAGGAATTTGACTATGTAGCAACACATTTACAAAGCTGCTGCAAAACACTCTCAGAGGGCAGGGACCCCCTCTCCCCAGAGGCTATGAGGAGTAAGGCCCTAACTGCTGTTCCTGCCACAGCATTGCACGGTGCAATGCAGACTGAAGGGAAATCCAGCTGCAGCCACAGAGGGCGTGACAGCCCCACACCCTGTGGTCCCTCCAGCTGGCCTCTGCTCAGACGGAGCAGTGAGGGAGCCCTCTGTATGCAGGGCAGATTGGGCGGCAGACACTTGTAAAAACAAAGCACAGTCAATTCCTAACGTGTCCATCCTGTTGTGTTTGCGTTAAGAAAAATCAAGACTCCTGTTTTATGGGCTGCACTGTTCTGGAAGGCTTCCAAAAAAAAAAAAAAGTTTAACATAGCTGACTCCTGAGGGTAGCACCTGCTCCCCGCCCCCCAGAGTCCTGTTCCAAAAGGATGGCATGACCTCACTTGTGTGTCCCCAATGGCTGCAATTTCCAATGGCTGCAATTTATAAACTAAAAACAAATTTAAAAAAATCCATTGCTGTTTTTCTCTATCCTGAGGATTGCAGACTCTGATGGATACTCCAGTGGCAGCCAGAATCTAGAAGATGCAAATTCACTATGAGACAGACTTGATATCTGCCCTGAACACAGAAACCTGTTTCTGTCAAACCTGAATAAGGTGAGTATTTGTAAAACTAATGGCAAATCAATGCCAATAAAATTATTTTGAAAGTAGGATAAGTTTTGTGCTTTCTTTTGTTTCTCCTCACTTTCTCTGCGGAGATACAAAGTTAGCTGCAACAGGTCTAGCTAATCTATCGCAAAAGGGCTGTGACTACACGTCAGTAAAGGCAGGCATGGTGTTTATGGTGCCCGGGAGGGAAAAACACCAATCCCTGCTCATCAGAGTCCCAGTGCAACAGAAAACATCACCAGCTGGACAAAGCCTCCTTTTGTCAGTCAACAAGGCGTCAGCACAATCTCTTCAGTTCACTGTGTTAATAGAATCCATTCATGTTACGGAAAAATACTTCTTGGCACAGTTTACTTTCCTGACCCAAAGACATCAACAATCCAAAGTGGACTTGGTAGGGTAGTATATTGTTACACCAGCCCAGTAAAGGCATCTTTAGATCATTAGAAAATGCACAATTACTGTTAACACTCTGGTTCCCTTTCCAGGAGTACTGACTCTTTTCCTGCAAAGCACTTTCAATCCACATCACAAAGGTAGAATGTATTTGGGTAAACGTGCTTTTGGGATTCCACTAAATGCTTAGGTGATCTTATTTTATTCTCCCCTGTACGTATTTGAACAGAACCTTAGACGCTCTATAAGATGACAGCAGCAGTGTGTGTGTTTTAAAGTAGGGCAGCCAACAGTGAACTGGCATTCAGACTCAGATCCCACGGTGCTGTTTCCATCCAACGGGACCCTAACTTGGGGACAGAACTCCTTTCCCAGAGGCAGGAGGGCATGCTAAGGAAATTGCTGGCACTGCCTTCTGGTTCTGTGTTTAAGACTGGAAGAGAAGATAGAAACTGAGAGTATAGAAAAATTTAAGTTTACCAATTGGTGGCCCCCAAAATGCTGAAAACTAAATGACACAGGCTGACCAGATACATACATTCTTTTCGTGGGAGGGAAGAGCAAAAGCTTTTCAAAGTTTGAGAATTTATTAGAATTTTTAAATAACGAGAACTGCGATTCTAGTTTCACATCTTGGCTGTTTTGACAAAGGAGAAGCCACTAAGAATACAGTGACAAGCTCCTATCCCAAGCCAGGGACTGATCAGTGGCGCCCCAACCCCACCAATTTGAAAACCTTTACTTCCCAACTGAACAACACAAGTGGTGAATGAAGCCAGCAGGAGACCTGTATCAACATCCAACAGGACAGTCTGCAGGGAGCCAATGCATTTCCATAGCTGCTCTAGTAAATGATGACGCATTCTGCCATGTCATTTCTAGGTAGAAGACAGGTCTTTCACACCCCAGTGAGCGACACAGTCAGTATTTCTGAGCATGCTCCCTATGCACTTACAAGTACTGTAACCTTACAAAGACAAGCAAACACTTGGATTTTCCTGCCGTGTACTTTTCAGAAACTTAACATCGTTAACCACGATGGGGACAGGACTACACAGCTGCATTGCTGAGGAGAGCTGGCCACTCCAGCGCACAAAGACAAATACCCAGTTCGGCAAGCTGTAAGGCATGTACGCACAAGGAGAGAGGCCACTGTCGGCGGTATGTAGCATTATGGAAAAAATTCCAAACCGGCGGGATAGGAACAGTGCTCAATGCTCCAGTTTTTTAGAAGTAATCCCAAAAACCCAGTTCAAATCCCTACTGTCAACATGTAGGGAAGAATTCAATTTCTATCATTGTTTCTCTGGATCAGAGCTCAGGCCATTTGCTCCTGGCTTGGTAATAAAAAAGAAAATAGGTTTCTTCCTGGATCTTTCTTGGCATGGAAACACAACTGCAAGAAGAGAAGGCCGTGCGTCCTGGGCACTGTGACTGACGGTGGCTGCGCTCTTCCCGTCCTCACATGACTGCAGTCACAACTGGGGAAGAGCAAAGACAGGAAGCTGATCTAGCCCCTAGCATCAAAAGGAAAGTGTAAATTGTGAGGCTCTCTGTTTCAGAAATGCCTCAAATTTGAAAAACAAAAAACCTTGAAAAATTTAAATTCCTCTTCTAAAAGTCATTTATTTACATATTATATGCCCAGTATATAATGTGTAGATAAATGTATCCTGCAGTCAAAGGAACCGACCTACTGGACAGCATAGCACTTTATAGAACAAATTCTTGAAAGGTTTCATCTCATACTGGTATCTTTTAATAAAAAAAAATTAAAAATCAAAGGAAAAGGCCTGGCCAGGGCTAGAATGAGAGAGACAGGACTACTTCAGAATCCAAGGTAGGGGAAGGCTGTTTGCCTATTTTTAGAGAATGTAGGGGTGTGAACAGGTAGGGACAGATCATGCACAAAAGTACTTATTACAAATTACACCCCCCCCTCAATAAAAGAGAAGAAAAGCCCCATCATTTAACATCAAGTAGCAACACTTTCAATGAACACTTTCTTTGCTGCCATCATGCCTTATTTCAGAGAGGAGGTCTGTGAGGAGAGGTGAGAAGAGCAAGGGTGAGAGGGAAGGTCTGCACTTCAGTCTAATTTCCAATTTCCACCCTCTTCCAGGTCTTCAGTCATCTGATGCCTGATGTGGAGCTCTGAGCAGAAACCGAGTAAGTGGTGGCCACGACTGGGGTGCCGTTGTTGGTGGAGTAGCCTTGCCTCAATGTCTCAAAATACGACGCCTGCACGGGTTTGTGGTACTGCAGCATTTTGATGGCATCCTCTATCTTAAACCACTCCCTCTTCCTTCCTGTGGAGGCACACAGAAAAATAAATTAAGAACACCAGGGAAGCAACGAAAGGTTTCTATCATCTAACCTTTGAGATAATGTAAAAGGAAACGTGCAAGTAATTTTCAAAACATGTATTATAAATACATTTTGTTTTCTTTTAAGAGTAAAGCAAGCACATTTAAAAACTATTTTATTTATTTTTAGAGAGGGAGAGAAACATCAATGTGTGGTTGCATTTTGCGCATCCTCTGCTGGGGACCTGGCCTGCAACCCAGGAGTGTGTCCTACACTGGGAATCAAACCAGCGACCCTTTGGTTTGCAGGCTGGTGCTCAATCCACTGAGCCACACCAGCTATGGCAGCAAGCACATTTTATATGCTTCAAAAATACTGTACAAGTGCCCAATGCAGAAATTAGGTAAGAAATCTGAAAACTGAAGAGATGACAGTAATCGCAAGACAATGCCCTCCAGACAGAACCTCAGCCGGCGGTCCCCCCTGCGCTCCCAGGCCCAGGGGCCCTCCTCAGCTTGTTCAAGCATCCCTCCAGCATCCCTCTCTCCTGAGCATCGAGCTTCTAGAAGTACCAGGAGGGCTGGCTTATAATCAGTTAATTACTTTAAAAAATATATATATATATATATGAGTGATATAGCTATGTAATAAAAAATACTACTTTAGGAAAAAAAATCTCAACACAATGACTATTAACTTTTCAGTATATTTTCTTTTTTAAAATGTGTGTTACATGCCATTGAATTGGCTCTGTCTACACTGTCCTGTCTTCTGTCCTCACAGCGCTGTTCAGCTTCTGCAGACTCAGGCCCATGGCTTCCTTTATTTGGTCAATCCACCTCCTATTTGATCTTCCTCTTAATGCAGTTTGAAAATCTTTTTTTTTTTTAAATAATAAAAGATCACTGCTTAAAAATGGGAAAACAGAGGCAAGTGTAATATAATTACCCCTATTCTTATGAACTGGAAATGACCACTTTCAATACCTTAGTGCATTTGTTCTTCTTTTACTTTATTTAAAAAAGACACTGTATTTGAACTGTAGCTGGATCATGCTTTAAGGTGCTCTAAATCCTGAAATTCTCTGATAAAGTGTTATGGGTGGGAACATGGATGCTGATGCTAATATACTGAGCTCCAATTACATCACTGGCTCTAATGAGCTGTGCAGCTTTGGACAAGTTAGTGAATCTCTCTGTGCCCTATTTCCCTCCTCCATGACAGAGGGATAATAAATAAGACCTATCTCACAAGTCTGTTGTATTAAAATATAAGGTATTTGAACAATACGTGGCACATGGTATGTGCTGTAAGAGTTTGCTTTTTATTATTACCATTATTACTACTGTTTCTTTTTTACTTCACAGTGCTTCTTAAGCATTTTTCTATGTTATAAAAAGACATAACATTTTATGGCTATGCATTACATCATAACATCTAGCATGGATGTGCTGTCATTTATTTAACCATTTCCCTATCACTGAACATCAATATCCTACGATTTTATTATAATAAATAATACTACAGTTAAAAAAACCTTTATCTGTGTTCTTTTTTTACTATTAACCCCTCAGGGAAAGATCCCTAGAACTGAGACTATAAGAATAAAACATGTTAACTCTAGGGGGGTCTTGATATGTAATGCCAAACTGTCTTTCCAGGCGGCCACAGAGACTCCCAGCCCTGCGTGTGCTGGTCTCTACCCCCAGCCAGCACTGTTACCTCTTCTTGATCACTGGCAATTCTTTAGGTGAAAACCAGTGTGTCATTTTTGTTTTCATTTCAAATTATTATTTCAATGTAACTCGTGTGTATGTGTATGTGTGTATATAAAAATTCTATATCATACTGTTTTCATTCACCAAAACTTATTTTGTAAGCACTTCTATAAGTATGTGTTTAACAGCTATCTGACATTCCATCAGATGCAAGTACCTTAAATCACTTACCATTCACTGAGTTGTACAGTTACAACCCAATTTTACCTTTGAAAAAGGCTGATAGCCTTATTCCCCATATTTTAGATTACCTCATCAGGGTCAACTGTCAGAGGTGGGAGTATAGGTGGAAGGCTACATAGCAATGATACCTTAAAAATTCATATCCCAAGTGTACGACTCCTGCCCGACTGAGTGTTCTGAGGACAGGGACATGCCACTCATCTCTGTCTCCCTTTGAGGCCCCAGCACCTGCTGTCAAGGAGTCTATTTTTAATACCACCCCCTCCTACCTTACTTAAGCATACTGCATCTTACCAGACACAACGACATTAAAAGCTGAGGGCTATGAAATGCCCGATTCATCAGTGCAAGGGGCCTGATGACAAGACACAGAGGGAGAGGTTTCGGCAAGCGTTTTGTTTGCCAATTTAAAACAGGAATTAAATATTACACTTTTCTAGAAAATACTTTTGTTCGGGGTAAAAGATTAGCCATGAACCGACCATTAATCACTTTAGTTTTTTAGTTCAAAAGAAATACATCCAATAGTGATCTCAGAGATCAAAGAAAATGGCTCCTTAGAAGAAAGATAGGGGACCTGAAGGGTGATGTGAATAAAACTGGAAACTACTCCCGCTCCTCTGCATCTGCGAAATGACTCGAGAGGGGCTCATACCAGCAAACCAACCGTCTTCTCTGACAGCAAGGATAAGCATCATGAGGAACAGCCAAGGTCCTGCTCTCACCTATGGTTCTGTGGCCAGCTGGCATTGTGGAGGAGGATCCAATCTGATTTTAGAAACATTTCCTATTTTTCATGGGCCATGTTTCTATTTGTTGACCAGGTGTCCAACTTCAGCTTTCTTTGGAACATTTCAAAATACTTTCACAAATTTAAAAATGGACATGCTTGTTTGTATTTAACATATCTTCTATAATTTCTCTTCTCATCAGGCTTTTGTTTCTAGTTCTGAGTAACGACCTGTGCTGTGGCAAGCTCTTTGGAGGCCATCTGGGGTTACTTACCAATGTTAACTGAGTCTTCCCAGTCTTCCAGCACCTCCGTGACAATGAGCACATAGACATACGTTCTGTGCTTCCTTTCCTGGTTCTGAGGGCAAAGAGAGGACAGAGAAAGAGTTATTCCTTACAGAGCTGAGATGACTTAATGAAGCTCACTCTCACACATATGTATAGAGAGCTTAGACATAGGACTCCTTTTACTTCTTACTGTCCCACAGTCAAACATGAAATAGCACCAGATGTTCTATTTGAAACATACCACACTGCATTTGAGGGTAAGCTATTCGGCCGGGTTCCTAAGGCCAAGGCTTTACTGTTTGTTTTTTAAATATATATATTTTTTATTACATTATTACAGTTGTCCCATTTTTTTCTCCCCTTTATTCCCCTCTGCCCTGTACCACCCCTCCCACCAGCATTTCTCCCACCCTCGCCCCTTAGTTCATGTCAATGGGTCATACATATAAGTTCTGTGGCTTCTCCATTTCCTACACTATTCTTAACCTCCCCCTGTCTATTTTGTACCTACCATTTATGCTACTTATTCCCTGTACTTTTCCCCCCATTCTCTCCCCTCCACCTCCCCTCTGATCTCCATTTCTGTGATTCTGTTCTTGTTCTAGTTGTTTGCTTAGTTTGTTTTTGTTTTTAGGTTCAGTTGTTGAAAGTTGTGAGTTTGTTGTCATATTGCTGTTCATAGTTTTTGATCTTCTTTTTCTTAGATAAGTCCCTTTAACATTTCATATAATAAGGGCTTGGTGATGATGAACTCCTTTAACTTGACCTTATCTGGGAAGCACTTTGTCTGCCCTTCCATTCTAAAGGATAGCTTTGCTGGAGAGAGTAATCTTGGCTGGAGGTCCTTGGCTTTCATGACTTTGAACACTTCTTGACAGGCCCTTCTTGCCTGCAAGGTTTCTTTTGAGAAAGCAGCTGATAGTCTTATGGGAACTCCTTTGTAGGTAACTCTCTCCTTTTCTTGTGCTACTTTTAAGATTCTCTCCTTGTCTTTAATCTTGGCTGATGTAATTATGATGTGCCTTGGTGTGTGCTTCCTTAGGTCTACCTTCTTTGGGACCCTCTGAGCTGCTGCACTTCCTGGAAGTCTACTTCCCTGGCCAGATTGGGGAAGTTCTCCTTCATTATTTTTTCAAATAAGTTTTCAGTTTCTTGCTCTTCCTCTTTTCCTTCTGGCACCTCTATGATTCAGATGTTGGAAGGTTTATAGTCATCCCAGAGGTTCCTAAGCCTCTCCTCATTTTTTTGAATCCTTGTTTTTTCATTCTGTTCTGGTTGAATGTTTTATCTCGTCCTTCTGCTACAAACTGTTGATCTGAGTCCCTGTTTTCTTCCCTTTACTGTTGACTCTCTGTATATTTTTATTTCACTTTGCATATCTTTCATTTTTTCTTCTATTTTGTGACTATACTCAACCATTTCTGTGAACATCCTGATTACCAGTGTTTTGAACTGTGCATCTGATAGGTTGGCTGTTTCTTCATTGCTGAGTTCTATTTTTGGAGCTTTGATCTGTTCTTTCATTTGGGCCATATTTCTTTGTCTAAGCGCCGGCTTTACTCTTTTTTACCCCTTCCCCTTTCTCAAAGTGTGACTTCATGGGAAAGCTGTGAGCAGTAAGATCATGACCTCTGAAGAAAAAGGCGCCAAGGAAATTTAACTAGCTGGGCACCAGAAAGAGAAGAGACTGGGAGGATGGGTGGGGCCTCATCAATGCAAGCCAGCCAATTATCTCCCATATCCTCCTTCCCCTACTGACCTGGCTCATCTTTATTCCCTGACTTCTCACTTCCTTCCACCTTCCTCCAAATCTCTACCCCAGTTGATTTCCTTGTCTCTCTGTCTTTTCTACACTTGCATTTTGCTGTGTACAACGTGCACCCACATTTTGGTGCACATTATACATAGGATTATTATACCCATGTATAATACATATCCTTATTTTTCCCTCAAAAACTTGGGTAAAAGAAGTGCATGTCATATATGGCAAAATACAGTATCTACCCCTCCTCACATCTCAGAGAAGGAAAGGAAGAGAGGTAGAGATGGGATAAGTAATACTTACAAATAATACTCTGGGTGTTTGGAGGAGACAAATGCTGCAGTGGACTGAATATATATGTCCCCCCCAAATTCTTATGTTGAGACCCTAATCCTCAATGTAATGGCATCAGGAGGTGGTCTTTGGGGGTGATTAAGTTTGGAGGGCTGATTCTCATGAATGAAATTAGTGCCCTTATAACTGAGACCTAGAGAGCAATCTTCCCTTTTCCACCATGTGAGGAACAGAGAGAAACAGCAGTCAGGTTCTTAACCGGACAATCAAGGCTGGTGCCTTGGTCTTGAACTTCCAGCCTCCAGAATTGTGAAAAATCAATTTCTATTATTTATAAGTGACCCAGTGTGTGATATTGTTATACCACCTTAATGGACTACGACAAAGATATATGTGGTTATAAATATGATATCGTATGTACAAAGATTTTAACAGACTTACCTCAAAAATTCCGACTAATCTTCCCAATGTCCCTTTTACTCCAGCCTGAAAAGTGGGGGGAAAAAATTAACACACTGATAGTCTATACTGTTGTCTTATTCTGAATCTTCTGAGCAGTTTGTAAAATAGAAATGAAAAGCAAGAAGACACATGCCCTGGCCGGTGTGGCTCAGTGGACGGAGGGCCAGCTTGCAAACAGAAAGATCACCAGTTCAATTCCTGGTCAGGGCACATGCCTGGGTTGTAGGCCAGGTCCCCAGTTGGGGGAACGTGAGAGGCAACCAATTAATTTTTCTCTCGCTCTCTTTCTCCCTTCCTGTCTCTCTAAAAATAAATAAATAAATAAATTAAAATAAAAGAAAACCAAGAGGACACATTTTGGTGGAGGTCACACCAGTGTTTCCTGTGTGTCACTGAGAAGAGTAGAGTGCACACTGGAGAGAGAGAATTCCTCTCGGCTCCTCCCAGGCTCTTTCCACACTGCAGAGCAGGGCAAACAGAGCAGAAAATCAAGGCCATGAATTATTTCACTCATTTACTCATTCATTCAACAAACACACTGAATGCCTAATCTGAGCCAGATCACACTTGTAGGTACCATAGATGTAGTGATGAATAGGCTAGAACAAAAGATCCATAAGAGCAAGACCCGTATCGCAACTTGTTCTTAGATGTCTATGTACAGTATGCCCAGAACCGAGCTCAGCACCTCTGAGGAGCTCAGTAAAACTAAGTCAACAAAAACATAAATTTGGCCATTCTGCCAGTGACAGGTATTGACAGAGATGTACAGAACAATGTGAGGGACAGATAGTGAGCAGAATGACAACTTTATACAGGGGTTAAGCATTTGAATATATACTCTCTATTTCCCATTAGCCCTTTGGTAATTTTTTTTATATTTGTGTCTTTCTGATGTATTATCAATGAATTTTTCAGTATATTCCAATTTACTAATTTTCTGTTAAACTGTATCTAGGCTAGAGTTATCTTATCTCTAGTCTGTTTTTCATTTGACATTTTCACTTCTACCTGTTCTTTTTGTATCTGTTTTCCATCATGTACACATTTGTTTCCATATTTTGTTCTTTTAAAATGGAAGTTATTTCTTCATTTACTTCTTCATCGTCTGAACATACTTACGTTGTCTGGCCACGCTGAAAAATTCACTGAATACTGGCTCTCCAGGGTCAGATCTTAAAGTGACAGTTTATGCTCCTGCTCAAAGGTGATATGGTGAATATTGCAGATAGAGCTGTGGAATCAGAGGGTGGCTTGGCTCCATCCTTTATTGTGCACTGCCTCTGTGTCCTCTCCTACCTAGGCCCACATCTTTCTAAAAGTCTCAGCTCACGGTGTCCTTTCCATTGGGCACTGGGCTCCCCTCACTCTGAGGGGTCCAGGCAGGCTGCAGTTTTGCTGTGCTGCTCCCTTTCTGATGTCTAGAGGTAGTGTTCACCTAGCTTTTGAGCCAGGCTGTGTCTTTTTAGTTTTTTCATTTTATATATCTGTCTCTGCTAGGAGCAGGAGGGGTCAGTGTAAGGCCATACTGCCCTGAATGTCCCAGATCTCGTCTGATCTGGGAAGCTAAGCAGGGTCGGACCTGGTTAGTACTTGGATGTAAGACCACCTGGGAGTACCAGCTGTACTATGCTGCTCTGGCCAGGTAGTTCAGTTGGTTAGGGTGCTCTCCTGATACACCAAGGCTGCGAGTTCAATCCCCAGTCAGGGCACATAAAAGAATCAACCAATGAATGCATAAATAAATGGAACAACAAATTGATGTTCTCTCTTCATCTGCCCCCTTCCTCTCTAAAAAAAAAAATTTTTTTTTTAGAGGGCTCAAAGGGGAGGGAAAGATGAAGCTTGGAAATGCAATGGAATGCTACATTTACTATTATTCTATTTCTTACTATCATTCATTTTCTATTATTACTGCCTTATTTGTATAATAAACTAAAAATTAAGGCAAAAATATTTTCTAAATACAACACAATAGGTGCTCAGTAAGTGTGTACAGAATGAACGAAAATTTAAAATAAGTACTCAAAAAGTTTTAAGAGTTAATAATAGAAAGGAAATAGGCCAATTTAAAGGCCTAGGCTCCTAGGGGAACTATATCTTGAAATTAATTTTTGCTAATTATCTGTCAAGGAATTCTAGATCTTTTGCTTGCTAACATGCCTGTTTCTTTTCCTATTCTTATTCTGCCCATTCTTGTCCCCATGTGGCTTTTGGTGTACTTGAATGGAAATGTTATTTTTTCTTATTTAAATTGCTTCTCCACAGTTTTAGAAAAAACTGGACTCCACAGCCAGATAAGACCAGCTACACTGTTACTTCATCAATTAACCATTGAAGCAGCCTGAACGAGTGGGACAAGCTGGCAGGCCAGCCTGAGCTGGAAAGCCAATTCTGTTCTCTGATCCCAGGCAGCCTAAACACACTCAGGTATGTCACCCATGCCCTTGCCACAGGCCTGCACTGGTAGGGCCTGGGAGGAGAGCTGTCAGGGTTGGGGTGGGAGTAAGGAAAGATTCATAGAGGCTGTTACTCACTTTTCCTTCTGCAAAGTGGAGAAAGAACTCTCTTTAGTAGATGTTATTGTCAATTCAGTTTATTTTTAAAAAAGACTTCCGGAGAAGATGGAGGTATATAGGTAAATGCAGCTAATGTCCTTGCAGAACCACAGCAAAATTAGTTAAACTACAGAACAAATATCACTCAGAACTGTCAGAAAATCAAGCTGTATGGAAGTCTGACAACTAAGGAATTAAAGAAAGCACATTCATCTAGATGAGCAGTAGGGTGGAGATATGGAATGGGCTGGTCCCACACATCCACGTGTAGTGGATAGAAATAGGGAGGGATATCTGGGGAGCTAGGGATCCCAGTTCCACATCAGAGCACCCAGCCCAGGGTTCCAGTGCCAAGAAGATAAGTTCCCATAACTTCTGGCTGTAAAAATCAGTGGGGGTTGCGTTGGTGGGAAAAACTTTGGGATGCTTAGGTGTCTCCTCCTGGAGCCCTCCGGCCCTCACCACCTCTTGCACAAGGACTTACTCAGACTCACTACTTCTGGGCTCCAGCACTGGTGCAGTACCTTGAAGGGCACCAGTGGCATATGGGGAGGAACTGAAATGTCTGGCATCAGGGCAAGAGCTGGAGGACAGCTTCCTCCCAAACAGAACTGCAGACAGTGGCTATTGTACCTTTTCTGAGCCCTCCCCCACACAGAGCCACAGTGCAGCAGCCCCATATGAGTCTCCACCAACCTGGCTCACATGGTAAGCTCCGCCCTGATGGTTAACTAAGGGTGTGCCCCATTCAAATTACGGGTCCACCTAAGCTGGTAACAGTGGCTTTTCCATATGAAGGTATGGACTAGATTTCAGACCTTCCTAAGTCCACTCAAACAAGCAACTACTGAGCTCAGCCCCCATACCACTTGCTGAGTGGCCCCAGGCCCAGCACTAGCAGCAGCCATCCACAGATCACTTTATAGCTTATGCCCCAGACAGAACACAGGTGGAGGCTGACCTTGACTTGCGTCACCCAGGAAACTCCAGAGTCTGCACTCCCAGAAGGCAGTTACAGACCATGTTGAAGCACACAACCTCCACAAGCCATGGAGGGAGGTGGTTGCTGGCCAGGGGTCACAGCTAGTCCTACCAGCTGTCCAGACTGGGTAAATCCCTCCCATTGACCTGCTGACAGCAATCAAGACTCATCTACAAGAGGAGGGAGTACCCAGCCCACACAGATGGAATACCTCAAGTACACAGCTTAGGGGTTAGGGGAGGCTGTGCCACTGGATCCTACAGGATACCTACTACATTAGGCTATGTTATGAAGATGCGGAGTCAAAGCAGCTCGACCTAATACTTAGAAACAGACACAGACAGGGAAGCTGCCAAAATGAGGAGACAAAGAAACATGGCCCAAATGAAAGAACAACAAAATGGAGATAAGCAATCTTTCAGTTGCAGAGTTCAAAACACTGGTTATAAAGGAAGCTCAAGAACTCAGTGGGTACATCAACAGCATAAAGATGATCCAATCAGAAATGAAAAAGACACTAAGTGAAATAAAGTACAATTTACAGGGAACTAACAGTAGAGTGGAAGAAGCCGAGAATGAAATCAATGATTTAGAACATAAGGGGAAAAAAAGTATCCAATTAGTACAGTAAGAAGAAAAATGGAATCCAAAAAATCGAGGATAGTGTAAACAGCCTCTGGGACAACTTCAAGTGTGCTGGCATTTGCATGACAGGGGTGCCAGAAGAAGAGAAAGAGCAAGAAACTAGAAACCTATTTGAAAAAATAATAAAAGAAAACTCCCTTATTTGGTGAAGGAAACAGACATACATACATATCTGGTCACTGTCAGTTTGTTCTTTATTTCCATGTCTCCGGTTCTATTTTGCTTGCTTGTTTGTTTCACTGATTAGGTTCTAAAGAGAGAATCTTAAAAGCAGCAAGAAAAAAACAGAGTTATCTACAAAGGAGTTCCCATAAAACTCTCAGCTGATTTCTCAAAAGAAACTTTGCAGGCTAGAAAGGACCAGCAAGAAGTATTCAAAGTGATGAAAAGCAAGGACCTACAACCTAGGTTATTCTATCCAGCAAAGCTATCATTTAGAATGGAAGGGCAGATTAAGTGCTTCCCAGATAAGGTCAAGTTAAAGGAGTTTATCATCACCAAGCCCTTATTATATGAAATGTTAAAGGGACTTATTAAGAAAAAGAAGATCAAAACTATGAACATTAGCCCTGGCTGGTGTGGCTCAGTGGGTTGAGTACCCACCAGTGAACTGAAAGGCCACCGAATTCGATTCCTGATTCGGGCATATGCCTGGGTAGTGGGCCAGGTCCCCGGCTCGGGGCATGCAAGAGGCATCTGATCAGTGTTGCTCTCACACACGATGGTTCTCTCCCTTTCTCCCTCTCTCTAAAGAATAAATAAAATCTTAAAAAAAAAAAAAAACAACTATGAACATTAAAATGGCGATAAATATTACCAACAACTGAATCTTAAAAAAC